GAACAGAAAGCGACATATAACGAAATACCGTAATTGTTCACGAATGCTGCACAAGCACGAAATACAACGACATGACATATCACGTGTCACCTGCCTTGCAGAAGCCTCTCGAGCACAGAAACAAACGGAAAACATGCTGTTTTAAGAGCTTGCTGCAAATCTTACCTCTGGCAGCGCGTTTAGGTGTGACGTTAGCCTTTTTGGTGGTCAACTCCGGAGCGACGATAATCTCGTCGGGATTCCCACCCTCCTCCTCGATTGCCTGTTTGTCAAGAGTACGGCAAAAACGCTTTACAGATTGTACATTTAAGCAACAGTTGAAATAAAAACATGTCAAATAGGTGAATGCACGCAAATTAGCGGCATTAGCGAGTTATTTGGTACAAGCGTATGCTAGCACTTAGCATACATTTAGGGTCAACGGCCTTGTAGCGTAGTACGCTTCAAATTTTGCCACTGTGTGAGCGTCAAACTAAACGTCTACAATGCAGGCCTTTATGGGCATTTTAAGCATTGTTATTCAGCAACTGGCTGTTTAAGAGACTGTAAAATTCAGACCTTTTTAAGACGCTCTGATAGCACGCTCTTCACGCCCGTCGTGTCCAGGTTTCGTTTCTTCAGCTCGGCCTTCAGGTCTATGACCCGCAGCTCCGACAGTTTGCGCACTTCTGCACCCTCCGGCACCTCCACATCTGCTGATGGGTCAGCCATCGCAAGACACGGGGAAATATCTCTTCAGCTTGCAATAGTAATGATAATATTCCTTCAAAGAGCCGTGTTTACTGGCGCCGCACAACGAATGGAAGCAGCGGGATTACTAAATTACAGCAAAATGGCGGATGCTGCAAGCAAAGGTGGTGACGACACAGCGCAGGCGCAGTGCAGCGATAGTGCGGAGACTTGCACCAACCAGCGACGAGGATCTGATGGCCGTGAGAGCGCAGAGTATAGTAAAGTAAGCAGCTGCTGTTATTTATGCAAGCGTTAAAACGCGATAAAAGCACACAGACAGCTATTTTAGTTAGTTCTTCTTTTCTGCTCCCACCATCTTCATCCTTCTTACCCTACCTCTGTTACACCAACCATATCCACTCGCTCCACCCACTCCACCCTACCTGCACTCTTTTTCACGTCTTGTGCACTTTCCCTTGCTTTGGATGGTTGACCCCAAGTATTAAAACTCTTCCTCCTTCACTGTTACACCTGTCTCCCTCTCATTCACACACTGCTGACTTTTATTCCTTTTCTCTCCAGTGCATACCTGCACCTCTCCAGGCCATCTTCCACCTTCTTCCTATTCGTGTCATCTTTGAACGCCATAGTCCATCTCTGCAAGCAAGAATGATCTCAGATGTAATCCCACCCCCAACTTAAACCCATATGTCCCTCCAGCTGCACCTCACCACTGTCTTACTGTCCTCATACATGTTTTTCTAAGGCATGTTACAAAAAGGTTAAAGGTATAAAGTTTATGCTTTATTCTCCTGTTTTGAAGGCAGTCTTTGGATTGCATAACATTGTTACAAATCCATAATAAAGAAAAAAACATTACAAAACTTAATGCATAGTTAATACAAAGATCACAGCTTAAACGGCCCCCACACAGTCCGGGCCGAATTTAAAGAAACGCCATATTAACAGGACTCGTCTGTCAAGCTTTCCACACATTCATGATTTTGTACTGCCGATTTATTAGTGGGTAAAGGCGGAATCTCAGTCTCAGAAAGAATGAAAATTGTACATGTCACTGAACTTGTAGTTCGAGTCATTTACTTTACTGTGGGGCAAACTTTTGCTGGCAACAAGAGGTCGAGGGTTATCTAGTATTTCAGGACTGTCAGTCTCCTCTGGCACGTTGGCACTCCTGGGTGATGTCGGGGAGCCACCGGTGAAAGACGCACTGGCACTTTGTGCATGATGCGACCATGTGTTTGAGGCTGTACCAGTCAGGGACAAGTCTTCACCAAAGGAGGAGCATCCGGGAACGTTAAAAGAGTCGAGGCTGAAGGACGAGGAGGCGGAGCTGACGTGAGCTGCTCGCGGTTCGTGGAGATTGAGTTTGGAGACCAGTGGTTTGCCGACTGTTACTTGCTGCCTTTCTTGTACTTCCTCATCCATGTTGGTGTAGGTGTAATGAAGGCATATTGTGAATGTGAACTCCCTCTATAAAGACAGTAAAAAGCACAATTTGTTTTGGGTTTTTTTTAGCAGTTATGAAAAAGTATCGGCTTCAGTCTTCAATGCATATGATTAAACTGCCTTTAGATGGCATATATAATTTTTTTTAAAGTTTCTTTAAGGCAGTGATTCCCAAAGTGTGGGTTGAGGCCCTCTGGGGGCCACAGGAAAACAAAAATTCTGTTTAAAATGATTTATCTATTCACATATTTATATAAATGTATTTATTTCTATAAAAACGACATTAAAACTGGTAATAAGAGGAGGTTACTTTGTGACATTACTCATTACTTTGACCCTTTGACGGGATTTCCTGTTTTTTTAAGTGAGCTGCAGCAGGCTTGGTATTGGAAATGACTGCTCTGAGGTCATAAATAGAAGAACTTATCGTAAAAATAGGGAAAAATGACGGACCTTGAGTCTCTGCAGGCTGCGGATGCGCGTGTAGAGACTGTGGGCTTCTGGTGAAGGAAGCTCCTCTTTTATCAATAATAAACAGCCAGCTTCCAGTAGAGTCTCCTGATTGCTCTTCTTCAAATCAATGTCCACATCCTGCAAAAGTGAT